TACGTACGTAACTACTCTCTCTCTCTCTCTCTCTCTCTCTCTCTCTCTCTCTCTCTCTTTTTGCTTACACTGTTTTTGTTTTTTGTTTTATCCCTCTGCCTTACTTTTTACCCTAGAAATTATGGTTTCTCAATTGTGTTTTTTTGATGGATTTCTGCACTCTCCGTGCACATTCTGCAGTATAGAGTGCTGACCTGGAATTTTGTCTTTGGCATTTTAGGGCTCTTGAGGTTTTATGCCCTTTGGTGGCAAAGTGATTGCTTTCCTGCTTTGTTAATTTGTTATTTTTATGTAAGTTGATCACCTTGCTTCTCATGTTGCTTTGAAATTTTGGTTATAGTTCATTGCATGTTTTTGAACTAATTTGATTGTTTCACTGTGTAATTTTGCTTGTCAGGCCGCATTTTCTTCCAATACTTGGATTTTTTGTTTGTTTTGTTTACACTTTTTTTTTTTTGTTACCAATTCCCTGGTTCGCTTCAAATTGGGCTAAAAAATGGGTGAGAAAATACATTCATGGAAGGAGAACCTAGCTTCTTTCAATTTTTATTCTTAATTTTGATGAAACTGCTGAATTAATAAAGAAAAGGGTTTTTTATGTTTGGATTCCTTCTGTGTATCTTTATACTAAATCATTTCAGGGTTTATTTGCTGAAATTTAAGTCCAATTATCATTTAAACAGATGGTTTGTACACAAGAAAGTCAGAAATGTAATTTCTTCAACTATGATATGGCCCCATTGATTCAGGGGAATTTGTTCCAAAACATGGCTACTTTATGACGGTTTTGGCTGGCCGATAACTAAAACAAAGCAAAACAATTGATATCCATTTTAAAGCTTATTTAGACTAATCACATTCATATCTATCTAGTTCCATGACATTGGAATTGAATTTTTTTCAGTGGAATCTAGTCTGTGAAAAGCTCATTTTCACGGAAGAAAGGCTATAGTCATCGCATGCATCTCGGTGGCCAAAAATTGATGTCCTGAAGCCTTTTTCTTGATCACCTAACTTTTTGTTTTGATGCATATAGGTCACTTAGACCATCTAATTTGTGGTATCTTTTTGGATTTTAGATTTTCTGAGGTTCTTTTCGTACATTTCATAGTTCATAGGGTTTGATAGTAAAATTATTGTATTATTGTTCCATTACATTCTTGCATCTGGTGTTTTTTTTTTTTCATTAATTTATTTTAATGTTAAACCTATTTATTGTTATCTGCAGCTTACAATATAAGTCATTATGTATATGTAACAGTATGATCTTCAATTTGGAGCCCATGTATATGTAACAGTATGATCTTCGATTTGAAACTTGGAGCCCATGTATATGTAACAGTATGATCTGCGATTCTTTCTCCATTTTCTTGAGATGGTGTGTACCTTCTTCATGTTGGAAGAATGGTACTTGTGGTTGAATTCTGTATTGGGGTGTTGGTTTTTATATTGTTCATGTGTATGCTGATTTTTGTGCAATTGCGCGCATGATGAACTGGTCAATTGCACCACTTTCACTTATGCACATGCACTTACCATTTTGCATATCTAATAATTATATTATCACTATTTTGTGTACAATTTCAGGCCAAACTTACAGAAGTGGCACAAGAACTGGGCAGAGGAATTCATATATTCACAAACTTGGCTTCTATACCATTTGATGGGACTCTGGCTTCTATACAATTTCTTTTGGTATGGACTATATGCCAGTTTAGAAACCAAATTGCATTTTTATCATGTGGTGTTAGTGGTGGTGGACATATGACAAATGTAACTCTTGCCAATGGGATGAAAACTAGTCTTTTCTCTAATCCAATACAGATACCCAGTTCTTCTTAACTTTTTAAGTGGTTATTAAACACAAAATCCAGGAACTTCTTAACTTCCCAAGAGGTCATCAAACACAGAAACCAGAAACTTCTTAACTTTCCAGGAGGTTATCAAACACAGCAACCAAGAACTTCTCAAGTTCACAGTTCTATAGGAACTTCTAATTTACAGTTCATGAACTTGCTTCCAGTTATCAAACAGATCCATACTGTAGCCTTCTTTCTATCACTCAAAATGTCCGCGTCAAAAGCCTCGGCAAGAACACACACACTCTTTCTGTCTCTCATCCCCAGTCTTCTCGAGTTCTCTCTCTCTTCTCTATTAACTTGTGAAGCCTGTTCATATTTTTTCTTTTTTTCTTATTGTGAAGTCATGAAATTTGATCATCTTCAAGCCCAATCTCCTTGAAGCCGTGTTACTATTCGCCTGGTTCTACAGTAACCTTTATCTTCTTTTCCCTTTTTCTGCTTCCTTTTTTTTATTAATGAAATTTGTTTTGAGTGGGTTTTAATTTTGGATTTTGGGGTTCATTTGTGGGGTTTTTGGTATCCATTATTGGGGTATTGTTTGTTTGTTTATCATTATGGGGAGATGCTTTTGATGGTGAAAATTTTGGTATTTATTGTTGAGAATGAAAAGGAAGTTTGTCTTGCACAAAGATGGATTTTTGAGATAACTGAGGTGTTTTATCTCTCCTATTTTATTATTTTTCAATAATTTATCTGTGTTTCTGCTCGATTCTCCATGGATTGAACTTACATTTATGATATGGGAAAATTCAAGCACTGGTTTTGATTTAGTCAGTACTAGTATAAACAGATGGGTGGTCATATTTGGATGTGGAAAGAAACTAAGAATTTATCATTACTTATGAGTGAATTCATTTGTTGTTTTGTGAAAAATACAAGGAATTTGTCGTTATTATTATGGCAATAAAACCCAATCTCTGGTTTGAGTTCTCCAAGTAAAATTGTTTTGTAATTTCTATTTTTTATGGTTGTTACTTGAATGCTTGAGCTTATATTGGTGAAAGAGAAAACAACAACACGGTTGTGCTGTCAGTAGAATAAACACATGGATTATCGTCCTTTGATATGGAAGTCACTTGAAGTTTTTGTGGTTTCAGTATGTGGAACCAAAATTTAAAACTATTTTGGTTGAATCAGTGTTCCAAAAAAATCGGGTGGTGCCTGTCCTAGCTGCCTAGCACCTAGGCGGGCGCCTTTCTGGATGGCTTAGGTTGAAGAAGAGGTGCAGGGGAATATGAGTAATACATCATAAAATATTAAAATTTTTAAAATCCAAAGTTCCAAACCATTGCAAATTTGAGAGACAGTTTTTAATTTTTCCCTAGCGCAAAATTTAAAACTCTCTCTCTCTCTCTGTGTGTGTGTGCAAACTCCTGCTCTAAAGAAAAGCCTTAAAGTTTATTTTTCTTGCACCAAGATGAGGTTCAAATTACTGGTTTTGTTGCAGAGCTCAAGAGCGTCATCTCCTTAGGAAACCATAATACATCATCGACACTCCAATTCAGCCATTTTCAAAGAGGTTTGGAGTTCCTTTCTTCTCATGTACATCATTACTTCTAGTCAGTGCTGCAGTATCCTTTGTTTGATTCTTTGGTCTGATTTTGCACTCATAAAACACTAGTTTCTGCTGCCGAGAATCAATCCTAAAAAAGAAAATAAAATTTTTGAAAATTATCTCTTTTCTCCTTTTCTCGCCTAGTTTGTAGCGTGCTGAAAATCAAATTTTGTTTATTTAGTTTCTTTTTATTGTCTCCATCAGATTACACATCTATGCCGCTTTTAAAAATGGGGATGATTTTTGAGGTTATGATAGGTTTCTGTTTGCTCACACTCAATAGTTTTGATTGCTGATAATTATCAGCAATTTTTTTGATTGCTAATATACTTTCACCCAATTTGTACTAGGGCACTGAGAATATGATTTTGCACTCCTTATTGGCATTCTTCTCTTGTGAATATTAGAAAAGAAAATTATAGTGCATGGACTAGTTTTAATAAGTGGTGAATTACGATTTCATTCAATCATTTAAAGAAGATATAAATTGAAATTTGGGGTTTATTGCTAATCGATTGCAATATTTTACCATTTTTATTCTGCAGTGGGCATAACCCAAAATATTTAGTCATTTTTTGATGGTCTCTGGTTAGTTTCTTTTACAATATTGTGTTGTTTAGAGAAAATATTTAGGTTGCTCAGACATCAGCTTAAAACTGTCTAACTTAACAAATCCCACGGGCAATAGAATTGTGATGGCTGAGTTATCAAAAATAGAAAAATTAAATGGAACCAAATTTAGGCGGTCAAAGAGGAAGATGGAATATCTCCTTTATCCAAGACATGATACCGTATGAGCTAAAAGATGACCGACCAACTGTTAGTGATAAACCTAATGTAGAGGAAAAGAAAAATTAGAAAAATTCCTAAAAGATGACCTAATAGCTAAGACATCTATGCTAATTTTTATGCAAGTTGATTTTATTAAGGATTCGAAAATTATGAGACATCTAAGAAAATACTAGATGTAATCGAAAAGAAATATGACACAATAGGAGAAACTCACCTTCAATTGCTCTTGGAACAATACAACTCATTTCAAATGAAGGAGGGTGATCATGTAGTGGACCATGTAAACAAAATGCTTGTTATGACTAAGGACCTTGCCATTGCCAGGAATGAAGTTCCTGGTCGCATGCACGTCTCCAGTCTTTTGGACAATCTTCTGACCTCATGGAAGATGGTTACAATTTCACTTTAGTTTGAATGCAAAATCCCTTAGTCTAAGAGACCTTCCCATGTAATTAATCCTAGAGCGAGAATATATGAACAAAGATAAAAAGAGTGAGCTCACTCTTGCTCAAGGTCCTCCTAAACTTGCTAACCCAAGCCTAATAACGAAAGGTTTTAAGGAAATTTCTATAAGAGGGACAATAGGTTCAAAAATAAAGGAACCAAGCTCCACAACCATGAGACTACACCGGGACTTCCAAGATGCTTAACATGTGGTAAGCTTAGCCACTTCAAAGATCTTGCCCTCAAAATTGAAACCCACAAAATTCAAAGCATGCAGGAACATGAGCAAAAGGCATGAAGTTGTTTCCTAGTCATAGAGTGTTTTCTTGGTTACCATGACATCATAGGATGGTCGGTTCATTTTGGGCACGAGCTGTCATATTGCAAGCGCCAATGCCCTTTCCAAAGACTTAGGGGGCGTTTGATAATAGAGAAACTAGGTGAAAGTCCCAGACTTTCCCTTAAACTATAGCTTTCCCCAGTTTGGAACTCACTTTTCCCCATTTTATAGTTCCCTTAACTAAAACTACGACGCAGGGTCACCCTGCACTGCAACTCTCTGGGAAAACTTTATGACCCTCTCCCATCCCATTCCTCATTCTTACTTGCTCCACTCTCCCTCCCAGCCCATCTCCACCAGAACTTGAGTTAAATTCTAAGCCTACCAACTGAGGTGATAGGTTTGCTGACTGCATTAGAGCAAATTAGAGAGAGAGAGAGAGAGAGAGAGAGAGAGAGAGAGAGAGAGAGAGAGAGAGAGAGAGAGAGAGAGAGAGAGAGAGAGAGAG